CTTGTTTGGACTCAAGGGATTTGCACTAAAATCATATTAAGGTCTCTAATGAGCTTAGTGCACAAGCACTATCACTTTAAGTACTATTATTGTCTAATATTGCAATGGCTATATATTTCCATGGCTCTTTTCTTCGGGTGTTGCATTTTTGTTGCAATTGAATTTGCTTTACTAATTCCCTATTTATTCATTGTATTTAAAAACTGGTTTACTTGGTTGCAGACTGGTTGTTTAAAAAAAAAAAAAAGAAATCCCTTTTAGTGTCTTTTTTATGATATTACATGTTGGAGCAAAACAGATCAGTGGGAAAAAGTTCATAACTTCCAATTTTGTGATAAGCAGATTAATATGTGGCTACTAGTGTGATAACAAGAATCTACACCTTTTAAAAACAAAAATGTCAACTACTGTTTTATTTATTCTTTGCCAGTCTGTTTTTAGTAGGCTTAAAGATCCAGTATGAAATGTATTTGTGTGTGATTGTATGCTATTTATTAAATTTTAAATACTTTGTTGAATGTCATTTTAAAGCATGTTTAAAGTCTTGTGCATTTCTGTCGTGTTATGCTGTCAGGCAGAACTGACTAAAACGTTTTAATATGTATCAAAATTAAATTGAATTTTTGTTATGTTTTTGCGGTACTTTTAAAGATTAAATCCAAGGTCTGTCTAGCTTTTTATTTTATTTTTTTAAAATCCTCATCTCTGAAGTACAAATCACATGCAGAAGAAACAAATAATTGAATGGATTCCAGAGTGTATATATCTTCTCCCTCTTCTCTTCATTCACAGACACTGGGATGAGAAAAATAAACAGTTTTACCATCTAGTTGATTTTATTCATGAGAGTTAGCAGGTAAATTCTGAGTTCAGGACACGGTTATGTAGATTTGTGCTTTTGAGGAACATTATGTGCAATACAGTTGTAAAAGATTTTATTATAATGACCCATGCGGTTTCAAGTTTCAGAACAGATCACATCACACTGGTACCAGATCAGGTACAGATTGGCCCATAATTACGCATACTCGAGTAAAAGTCATCAATGGCCATTTTTATTCACATTGAATAATATCTAAATCTGTGGGTAATGTTTAGTCTGATTTCAGTGGCATTGCTTATAGAGCAGGCAACTTTGCAATATGAACGTGGTAACACACCCTGAAATATATGTGAACAGTATGTCCTGGTATAAAATACTGGGTTTTTAAACCTTCCTAACTAATTGTCATTAGAAAGTGGTTACGGAAATGTTTGTCCCTGAGGCAGATACATTTTGAAGAGAGAGTCTTCACAGAGTACCTTCGGTGTTAAACACACACACAGTGATCTAAATTTGTTCCATTAGATGACCCAAATAGCATGTACCTATGGACTCCATATTGCAGATGTAAAAAGAACACAATGTTTAATTTGTTTTAAAGGAGAAATGCTACACATTTAACTGAGAAGTTGCATTTGATTGAGAATTTGGAAAATTGTAAATAAAATTCATATTTGTATGAGGCTAATTTGTTGCAGTGATTTTTTTCTTAGTGATTTTGAAGGGAGTGGTCATTTTTTCTTTTGATTAATGTATTAGTGATTGGGTTTTGGTGGTTTTTGGTTTGTTTTTACTGACACTTCCACTAAGTCATATTACTTGATTTCCTTTTTATTCTGGAGAGCTTGAATTAGTGTTTTGTTTAAATGATTCTTAATTTAGCCGTGCTACAATGCTAGGGCATTTTGAACAAAAGTCAGAATGATTCACTGTGGAATTATCTTATTTTCTGTAATAAATCACTTTCATCTGAAAGCTTTGAAGAATGTAGGTTACTGTGAGGTGAGTTTTCTCCTCATGTAAAGCTTTCTAAGCATGGAAGGAGTTTGTCATTGTTCCTTTTCATATATCACACTTTTCATTTGATTTGCATTGAAACATTAAGGGGGCTAACTGAGCTTCCAATGCTGCAAGGGCTTGTTTTGTTTCCAAAGTCAAGTCCATTTTCTCTACAAGTTCAGCAAGTATTGCTGGTAACTCTTCTTGCAAAACAGGTTCCCGGAGGGGATGCTGGAGTTAGTTACAGTACCTTGTGTTCCACTTCCTATCCAAATGCCAAAGCAAGAACTTGTGGCAAAGCTTGGATTCGGTCTAGGGAAATCACAGTTCAAGTTTGGGACACAAATACTTTTTCAGTGAGTCTTTACATTTAATACTCACTGCAGATCAAAGTTAATCATGGCTTTTCCTGTTGGGATGAGTTTTTGCTTCCTTTCTGAAAAGTGAGTGTTTACTGGCCTGTTTCATTCTCCTGCAGCTATCTGACTGCTGCAGTTGTCCTGAGGAAGTACTGCACATTTCCCATAAATCTTGTTTTAAGTCAACAGCTTCAATCTCCCTGTAGTTGTGATGAGGCTTTCTGTGGGGTGTGTTCTGTTGGTTTGTGGGGGGGTTTTGGCTGTATCTCTTTCCTTCCTCACCTGTGGGTTTCTGAAAATAAGCAGTTGGTAACTGAACTCCTTCAGGACATCAGCTACAATTCAATTGCCCAAAATGGGATAAGTTCTGAAAGGACAAGGGAGAAGTCAGTCTTGTCCCTTTGCAAAGTCACTGAAAGTAAGGAGAGGCAAGCAGATCAA